GTTTAAGCTCCAACCTACATGAAGCGATGGACTCTTTATGAAACACTGGCCCTGTATGTGGATGTGTATTTAATGAAGGGAAGCTAAAGCAGGAGAAATATGATCTCTCTTGTCTCCTTCAAAAATTACTTCTGGCTAAATCCCCCATGTTTATCTACAGTGTTGGACTTACCTCTCCACAGATGTCTGTGTATCTGTTGAATCTGATCTGCGGATGTAACATTTGATAGGAACAATTTATATTAAAAATATATTTGAGTGATTCATAGTAATTTATGTAGGAAAAATAATTTTGCTGACTAAATTTCTTCTAATTCAACTTGGGTTTATCTATATAGCACTAATTCACAACAATAGCTTCAAGACACTTCCCAAAAAAAAAAATCTAATTCATATACAGATATATCCAATCAACTAAATCTAATCCTACACAAAGTCGTATATGTTCCGATCTGATCCTGGCGATCAGTCAATGCATCCAAGCTCCATTTATCATTTAAATGTGTAAACCGTTTTCTAAGGAAACCCAGCTAATTACATCAAGTCAGCGACTTTCAGCAGGCACTCCTCTTTGGTTAGCATGTAGCAACAGTGGGCAGTGGCTCTCATTCTATCAATGACGCTGCAGCAAGAAAAGATAGAGCAGGAGAAATATGATTTCTCATTTTACTTTAAGGTAACCTTTGAAGTTCTTTAAGTATTTAAAGCCTAATTTACCTTTGAAAAATCAGTCGGTTGGCCATGAACAACATCCACTGGATGGAGAGGGGCCTGAAGCTAAGCTATACTCCACACACACACAGACACACACACACACACACACACACACACACACACACACACACACACACACAGCTTTGGAGCTCACACTAATGAATGTTTACATGAAATGCTGGCAGGCAGAGTAGGCGTAAAATGGAGATCCGGGGTGCACTAGTGTCTAGTTCAGAGTTTGCAACTCGTCTTTTGCTTTTCAAGGTTTCCTCTGTAATTATGGAGGGCTTTTTTTTTTTTCCTGCAGCTGCTCTAAAACAACCATATCTGGGTACGTAAACCAGATGGGAAATGGAAGCAAGAACATACTCTTATAATTATTATTATTACTATTATTGTTGTTGTTGTTGTTGTTAGTATTAATTCAGTATTTTTCTCATCAAAACATTTTACATTATAAAGCAGCAAAATAGTAAAGAAAACGGGAAAAAAAGTACAAACACATAAAGTGGAACATTTTTTTCTTAAAAACCAAGAATACCAATGATGACCAGGCAGAGAAAGAAAAAAAAGACACGCAAGCAGTGCCAAGGTAATGATAGGCTGTCACCTCTTACCATAGGGTGTGTGTCCCATTTTTCCCAGAAAGCATCCCCCTTTTCTTCTTCTAGTTTTAATTTAAAGGCCAAATGCTCCATGTCCTGAATACTATTAACAATGCCCATTGACTGTTTGATACTGGAGGTTGGGCTGCTAAGTCATTGTTTAGTTATAGGTTTTTTCCTTGCCATCATCATTAGTTCTAGGATATATCTATCTGCTGTGGTAATTCTTTATTTGACTGACATGACACTGTCTTAAACATGACATAACATGACATAACATGATATGTCATGTTCATGAAGGAGTCTTCATGTTCATGAACATGAAGGAGTCTTTATGAATGTTTATGACAGTTATCATGAAGTGTCATTCGTCAAACAATGACACCTTTAATGTAAAGTGGCTTTAAAAGTTGCATTGAAAGTGCCACCTTTGCATTCAAGTGTATACATCTACTAAATAATGCAAAGTCGTCACTTTCAATTAACTTTTTGACTTTTTGTTCCAGATTTGTGATGCATGAAGCTGAATGCTGCTTCACCATGTTTGGTTCTGGTTCCAGGGATGCAGAACAGAACCAGAATCAGAAGCCCTGAGAGGTCTGGAAGATTGACACAACAGCAGATCTTTAATGTATTGTGGTGCTAACTGAGCTCTTCAGTGATTTATAAACTAAACAGTATTTTAAAGTCTATTTTTTGAGCTACAGGGAGCCAGTGTAGGGACTTTAAAGCTGGGTTGATGTGCTCTGTCTTCCTGGTTTCAGTGAGAACGTGAACAGCAGTCTTCTGATCAGCTGCAGCTGCCTGATTGATTTTTACAGGCAGACCTGTGAAGACACTGTTGCAGAAATTAATGCAACTGAACATCAACAAATGGATGAGTTTCTCTAAATCTTGCTGTGATATTTGTCTTTTAATCCTGGAAATGCTCTTCAGGTCATAGAAGGCCGACTTTGTAACCGTCTTTATGAGGTTCTGAAAGTTCAGGTCTGAGTCCATCATCTGAGAAACAGATTTTTTTTGTTTTTAATAGATTTATATATAATCATCAAAATGAGCAGCAATAAACACTTAAGATTCATCACTTTTTGTATTATTCTACATAATCAGTTTTGGTTTTTGAATTAAATTTTATACTTGGTTACATTGTGATTTATTGAAATGCAGGCCTGGTTCCAGAAGCTTCACTGGTGCTGCAGCAGGATGGAACAAAGAAACAAATGAAACTGAGCTCTGATTTGGATCGACCTGAAATTATTTGTTGAGCCAATCTGAAAAAAAAAAACAACAAATAAAAAAAAATAAAAAAAAACAAAGCATGAAGTCTGTCACTACCTTAGGATAATTAGGAATGAACAGAAACTGGGCCATTCAATCTGGACAAACATCTTTATTTCTGGTAATGCATCTATACACTGTACATTCAGTCACTGTAGTATATAAGCATGGCTATTTTCAAACATAATCTCATAAAGTCCTTTACAATATAGTCCGAGTCGTTAGAGGAGGGAAGGGGAAAGGTGTCAAAACACGGGGGGGTGGGGGGAATAAAACGGACATAGATGAATAAGCCAAACTTCTTTTCATATTATATATGTGGCGTTAATACATGACAAAGCTTGCCTCTTACATAAAAATATTTCTAGAACTGTATATAGTATCAGCAGCAGCACAGGGCTAAAAATAATACATGAGGGAGGGGAGAGGAAGTCATGTGGGCCGGCTATACGATGCTGAACATTTGCTTAAAATCTATATGAAGTGAAAAAAAGATAATTCAGTAAAAACTATTTAGTATGAAAAAGAAAAAAAAACAAAACAGGATAAAATGTTTGTGAAGGGAATATTCTCTGCATCAACTGTTCCTGAAACATTTTCATTAAAACACAAACTTAAAAAAAAACAACAACAACAACATAAACGGAAAAGAAAAACAAACAGCTGCTGTAAGAAAAGATATGGAAACACCATGTACATTTATAATACAGTATCGTAAATGAAAAACATATTTACACATGTAAATTTGTATTCAAATCTTCACACTGGCTAGTATTTGGCCTATTAATACGGACTGTTATTGCTCCTTTGCTGCCCATCGCTTAGAAAAAAAAAAGATTCTCCTTTAGAAAACAAGACATCATTAAATCGCTTTCTTTTTTTTTTTCCTTTGTTTTGGACGGGAGAGCAAACAGGCCGATGTTAGCGCTTCCCTCCGCCGTAGAAAACCAGAACACAGAGGATATGAACTCTGAAGAGTAAAAACTACTAGAAAAATGTACCAACACGGGTCTGCTGGAGGGAGGCAACATCAGGGAACGTCTGTAATGCTGCATCAGAAAAGGCCCGGTCCAACACTTGCATCAGCAAACCCAACTGTAAAAGTCCTTATGTACAATTTATAGTAACAATTTACCAAGTTTTTTTTTTTTTTTTTTTAGGATCGTTTATAAAATCTCCTCTGAGAGCATGCATATCACTGGTTCAGACATCAGAAGAAAAAAAACAAAAAAAACATTTGAAGCATTTGTTGAGAGTGTTTTCTGCGCCGCGCAGAGTTCTGTAAACTGCTGATTCAAGGAAACACTGATTAAAGCGCTGCAGAGCACAGAAGGGCCTCTTCGTTTCGAAACCTGCTGATGGGAATGAGACGGCAGCGCCGCCGTCAGGTTTCTGACTCTGGAAACCTTTCGCCCATCTCTCAGGCACTTGAGGTTGTCCAGCATTGCACTCATTTTTTTGTTTTCCTCTTTTAATATTTTTATTTTTTATTTTTTTTTGTTGTAAATGTAAGTTGATCTAAAAATGGCATTTGGCTTTTATTTAACACCAATGCTTTTCCTGCTAAATAAGACAAGTCGCTTTATGTTGCATAACACAATAAAAACCCTTACACGTACAGTATCAATGCCCAATAAGTGACTATATGAATGGCAAACCTTTTTCGTTTCTCATGCATAAAGAGGATGAGATTCCTACCGGAAAACGAATTGTGAACACAACAGACAAGCAATAAAAGTATCTCCACATACAAAAACAACATCCAAGAGTTGACTGTTTGTTTGTTCGTGCTGCTGTAACAGTCCAGCCCGCAGAGATCTGAGCTGCTCCAAACTTCCTGAAAAGTCCTGCCTGCTGAACATTTTCCTGTCTATTTACAATCAGCTGCTGGAAACCGCAGCAGCTTTTTACTCGCTTGATTCTGTGGCCACTGGATGATAACAGTGGCAGTAAAACGCATTTAAACTGTATTTTTTTTTCTGGTGTTTTTTTTTTAAAGTTTTGACAAAAGTGCGATTTATTACTGTAAAGTACAAAACAAAAAGAACTTTTTTTTTATTTACACGCCTTAACTTCACAATCAGACATTTTTTGTGGTAATTGACAAGAGCCCGCTGAAAAGCTCCTGGATGACGAAGCCGGTCTGGAGGGAAAAAAACAAAACAAAACACGCCGTCTGTCATTCAAACGTTACGAGAACACAAGGCCACGCTCACACTGGAGGGAGAAAAAAAAATCAAAGTAAAACTATGGCAACCAGCGTGGATGTGTGTGTGAGACTGTCCAACAAGTGCTCAGTGAAAACAGAGAAGGTGCCTTTAACTGTGCCTGAATGGAGGGTTGGATCTGTAGCTGAATGACAGGAAACCTCCTGAACGTCCACACCGTGGTGGAGTTTGCATCTTTTACATTTATTGTCTATCATATTCATTTGTTTCCACTCCACCAGCACTGATGAAAGCATTTTTTTTTCCTGTCCATATCACTATGTAGTCTCTAGATAGCTTATAATGTCTTGAAGAGCCTCTGCCTGCTTCCAGCCGTGAGCCGACGCTGGAAGCCTTTTATTTGGAGGGGCCGGCCCCGGCCCCGCCCTCTAGGCTGTGGCCCCTCGCTGCAGCTGTGATGTCATGATGGCCTTCCAGCAGTTTGTTAGTGCGGCGTGAGAGTCTGGTTTCGTTTTCTGGCGGGCGCAGCTGCATCCTCGTCTGTTTGCAGGTCTGAGAGTGAACGGTGAGTCAGTCAGTGCTGGATTTAGAAACGCGTATCCCCTGGCTGCTTCTGCTCTCCCCTTAACTCTTCATGGGTCTGGATCAGAAAACACCTGCGTGTTTCCTCTGATGGGAACGTTTTCTCTGTCTTCTGGACGATTTGGGTTCAGGTGTCGGTGACGGTGGTGCCGTGGGTCGGCCCAGAGCTGCTGGAGCAGCAGGCTGTGTCAGATGGGATGAGAGCAATGAGGGGGAATGATTGAGTGCCGATGCTTGTCTCGGGGTTACTTGTTAGGGGCCGCTTCTTTGCTGCCAGGTTTGGGCCAGAGCTGCTGTTGGAGCTCCTTTACCACCCTCTCCAGGTGCTCTCTGGCCTCCCGCTCCTGCAGCAGGTCGGCTCTGAGCTGCTCGCGGTCAGCCTCGGCATGCTGCAGCTTCATCTGGAGGTCCTCGATCTGATAAACACAAAGAGAAGTCATCTTAAGAGAAAAAACTTTCTATTCTATTTAAATAAACTTCAAACACAATGATCGGCCAGAAAACTGTGCTAGGTGAAGCCCTAGTCTGGTAAAAACCAGCCCGTTGTCCTGCACTTTGCTTCGTCCAGAGGGTCTGGGCTCTCGGCATGACTGCATGTAATTCACTGATCAAATAGTTCTGACATTGTATGGAAAGAGTCATTTTCCTTGTGTAAACAAACCGACTCCTCTCAGCTGCTGTCCTTTTTCAAACCCAAGGTTTCTTAATGTTGTCACGGCAACTGTTCACGGTTCTGTTGTGAAACAGCCTCGCTCAGACTAAAGTTCCCACCGGCAGAATCTCTCATGAATGAACTGCTAGAATCAACCAGAGACCAACATTACAGCCATTTCGAGTTGTGACTCGTTCTTTTGTTCAGGTTCTGAGGCAGAATTAGCTCCGCCCCCTGCTCATTAGCTACATTAGCTGTGAAGCCGAGAAGCACAGGAAAATCAGAGAAAGGCCTGCGCTCCTGGGAACAGAGAGTTAAACACGGCTGATTGTGGGTGCAGGGCCCTCCCTCAGGCTGGAGACATTCAGCCGTCCCAGAATAACACGTCTTCCCATTGGCTGAGGTTGCTGGATGACCTAACGCAGAGCGCTGATAGGCCAGGTCAGTGTGACCTCACCGCACCATGTGCTCCTCACAGCAGCCTCATCCACTCAAACCCAAACAGAGGGTTTCACATGGAGACGTATGGAGCAGCGGCTCGGTCGCTGAACGTCCTTCCACCCAGTATTTTCCAGAAACAGTGGTCAGGTTTTGCTGCCAGACAACTAGTTGGAACTGGACCACGGATCAAAGACGCAGAGCTCGTGTCTCACACTCATCCAAACACTCTGCTGCTCTCACGTCCTGATCCTGTTTGTTTTCCTGGCTGCGCTGACAGCGTCTCCTCTCTGAGATGGCCGCGTCTCCGCAGGAGGACATGGACGCAGCTGGAGGACAGAGTCTCCTTCTTGTTTTGTCTAAAGCTGCCTCAGGGAAGCCGACACCTCTTCCTGTTTCCTCTTCCAGGGGGAGGAGCCGAACTACACCCGTTCATTTCTGACTGGGAGGAAGAGAACACTTTCTGTCTCCCCCTGTCCTGAAAGTGAGACAATATGACTGCTGTGTACATACAGCAGCTTAGCCACTTTTGGGGTCTGACGGTTTTTCAATATTTCCACATTTGGAAGTGAGAGTGTGAGAGGCTCCAGTTTGTGCCGGACCTGTGCGGAGTATTTGGCGCGGAGACGGCCGGCCTCGCAGCCTTTATCGCAGACCCTCAGCTGCCGCGCCTGCTCCAGCTCCCTCTTCAGACGGATCCGTGACTCGTTCGCCTCCTTCATCTTCTTCTCGCTCTCGGCTCGCAGACGCTCGATTTCCTTCCTCAGGCTGCGCTTGGCCTCGGTCGCCTCTCGGAGCTTCTCCTTCTTCGCCACCCGCAGGAATTCCAGCTCCTGTGAAGAAGAGATGGCTACAGTTAGCCTGCAAGTTCTCTGAGTTTATCTCCGTGTGCAACTCAAGTTCTTCTTATTAGCAAATTTCTAAGTTCCTCGTGTGTTTGTAATCAACAAGTGACCAAAACCATTCAAAATGTTAAATAAAACTAATGTTACAAAGAGTAAAATAAATGCTATTTTTAACAACTCCAAACCCAGCTGTGGAGGAAAAGACTGGTTCCTCCGGTGCCTGTCTATAAAACTCACGTGCAGCAGAACAGAACAGCAGAAGGTGTTCCACTGCATACTAAACATGCTTGTCATGAAAGTGCTGAATACTTGCGTGAGTACAGTCGCCAATAAAAGTGACGTTTTAGTTTTGAGAAACGAGTTGTGTTGAAGTCCTTCTTCTTTGATCAGTTTGTTGAAGTGTGTAGCTGGAATGTGGAGTTAATGAGTGCAGAGCCTAACTACCTGCTGGAGGCTCCGCTTGGCCTGCAGGGCTGAGCCCAGCTTCTCCTCCTGCTTCACTCTCATCTTCACGATCTCATGTAGGAACTTCTCCTTCGACTCCTTGGAGTCCAGCCCGCCGTCCAGCGCCTGCCTGAGGCTCTCCAGCTCTGACTCCAGCCCCAGCTCCAAAGGCGCCACGGCCACAGCGGGGACTGCAGCGGCAGGGGCGGAGCATTCCGCCAACGTGACGGTGCAGACCGGCCCTTGGGCACCCGGTGAGCTCAGGTCCTTGGCGGAGCTGCTGGATGAGGTGAAGGACGGCGAGGACAGGGAGGACATGGAGGACGTGACTGTGGAGGAAAGATAAGAAACACGTCAATGACTGCAACACGTTTATGAACACAGGAGGGCCGGAGCACTACTCACAGTCATCACGGCTCTCCACCTCCACTTCCACCTCGGAGTCCTTGTCATCCTGCGGTGGGGGCCGGCAGGAGGCAGCAGGTGGGGGGCAAGGGCCCTCTGGAGCTGGAGCCGGCAGCTCCTCCGTAGCTCTTCTCTTACGAGGTCTGGAGCTGTGGCTGGCACCCTCATCTGAAGGCTGGGACGTGTTGGCGGCAGGCGGGGATGTGGGCCCCGCCTTCCCCAGAGGGAGTGGCGTGAGGGCCACGTTGGGGGCCACAGCATTCTCGAGGCTCTTGTAGTTGTAGAAGCTGGAGGACAACAACAGGTGATGTTAAGGCTGGTAGTGTTCTGATCTATAAAGGTGGCAGTCTATAGCCCTGGTGTGGGGACATGGCCGGGCCGGGTGGGGGAGCCGGACCCCTGGAGCACCAGCAAACCCAGACGGTGAACAGCCATGATGTTCAAACCACAGCCGTCTGTGGCTTTAAGAGATTAGATTTTCCCTCAGCTGTGACTGAATATAAAGAGCTAAAAGAATCAGATGTTTCCATAAGGTAGCAGGTCAACTACAGGGTGGATCATAGGGGGTTAGATCACAAGGAAGATCAATGGGTGGACCAATGGGTGGACCAATGGGTGGACCAATGGGTGGACCAATGTGGTGTAACACAGGGTGGATCACAGTGTTGTCAGGTTCTGAGCTGGACTCACCTGTCTCTCAGCAGAGCCAGAGGGTGGGGGGGCGGCTCCTTCTCCCCAGCAGAGATGTGAGGAGACCATGGTCTGAAAGCTGAAGGTCTCTGTCTGGGCTGCAGGCAGTTGATCCCCTAAGAGACACAAGATCTCACTTTAGACGACTTGATCTGAAATGATCAGGACTTTCATCTGAGCTCAGCCACACTGACCTTGCTTGAGGCAGACAGAGACTGCAGCCAGTCGTGCTGCTTCTCTTTGTCACCAAGTGGAGACTGTGACGGGATGTCTTCCAGTTTGGACTTTTTCACAGGGATGCCATCAGACGCCTAAAAGACAGACAGGACGTTGACATAAAGACTCCATGTTAGTCAGGGCATTGTGTCTCGTTTATACAATCACTGCCACTGAGAGTTTCACAATCATGTCAAAAATACTTCATACGTTTTATATAAAAAGCTGGAAGAGTTTTCACTTATTCCAGATGGAGGGAAATGAACATGGGAAGTGTGTGTGCTTTTGTCTGTTAGCTTGACTCCGACATGAATGATTTCCTCCTGATTCCGTCCAATCTAAGTCTAATCTGACCGCTGTCTGGAGCACATGAGACACCGTCTGCCTATAGCTAATAAAGCATAATCCTGACTAACTCTAAGGGGTATGCATATCAGAAGTGCCGCCCTGATGTGGACACTCCAAAACAGAACATTCGTTGCCTTTTACACACACATCTTTATCAGAAGAAATTATTATTATATAAGAGAATCTTCTCACGTTATTGTTAAATATTTCTGTCAGAAAATTGTTAGCAGAGACCTCAACCAAGAGGCTGGATTTATCAGTGGCACAGAGAGGAATGTAATGTCCAACAACTGTTGCATAGTTCTTCATAGTGACAACACTGCAGACTCTGTTTTGATTTTACACATTAGTCTGATTTCATGTGTTCCTTTGGGATGTAAGTCATCAGAGGTTGCACTGCTAGCTAGAGGTTGTTACATTAAAAAAATCCATAAAGTGAAAACCCACCGAGCAACGTGCCGTTAGGGGAGCTGGCTGCAGCCACCAGGGGGTTAAATTTAGGTGTGCGCACACACACACACGCATACGACCCACACTCTGCATCACACACGGGATCCAGAGCAGCGAAGGTGTGTTTGCATACTGCCAGCCAAGAGAGAAGGCAAGAGGTGACTGGGGCAGTGTGAGTGTCTGACACACTCCGATACACCCAGAAAGGCAGACAAGAAGGGCTTTGTCACTATGACCTCAGCTTCTCCCAGCTGTGGCTGTCACTAGCTGCCGCACAAACACACACGCACTCTGAGTTACTGCAGAAACTGAACAGAAAGTGTGTCGCTCTCTAAAAAAAGAAAAAAAAAATTCTATCGTACTTTTTCTTAATGGAAGCTAAACCTGACTGGTGCAGAGTCAAATCTACCAACACAGTGCGTTGAAAGCAGACAAAAGCATTAAGAAAGATACTCTCTAAAAATAAGAGCAACCAAACTGCAGAAGTCGCACAAGCTGATGATACACTAAAAGGCAAAGGTCAAATTTAAAAAATCAAAAATCCGACAGCAACACAAATCAGGCTAGACTGAACTGTGCACACATCCATCCTGAGGGGGCGCTGTGCTCCAACACAATTCTGCTCTACTCATCACTCTATTTAAGGCAGCGCTGTCTAGAAACTGTAGCTGTCATAAAGAAACAGACTGCAGGCCAGCTACCTGAGCAGAGAGCCTGATTAAATAATCAGCTTATTAGGAGTTTTCAACATTTGTCTTACCAAACAGTAAAGGCTTTTATATCAAAATGTTAGAACTGTAACAATAGCAGCAGGGATAATTGTTAGTTATCTACTTTAAATAAAATAAATTACATCATGTTTCACACGTTGTTGTGGTAAACACTGACAATGATTTACGGCAGAATATTTACTTATGACCTTCATACCATGAAGACGTCAACAGCCAATGATTCTGCCTTTATAATCGATTAAAAATGTTAAGCTGAACGGCTGAGTGGGGACGTCTGTTGTTGACGAGGGCTCTACAGGAAGTGGAGGAGCTGTCAAGGTATGGAAGTAACACGGTGACGATAAACTGTCTTTCGGTGGGTAAAATGAGGCTCAGCTGGTTTGAAGATGGTTGGTTTGTGGGTTCTGGGTTTGAGCACTTTGATCTGTCCCCCCAACACAAAAATGTGATAAATATGTGGTCTGCTGGGAATCCAAAGGTTATCTACAGTAGACACGGTAAAAACTGTTGCATGAGGAATCTGCTTTGCTCTGGAGGATGTGATGCTCTTGTTCTTCCTTCAAAGTTTACAGCAGCACAATGTCAGGACTGGAGAGAGGACAGTGCTCTGAACACACTGGGACAAAGCAGCGTCCTGCTGGGTGTCAACAGGTGGTCCTTTGCAGCTGGGTGAGGTCGTCCCCCCCAACGCCTCCACCCCCCTCCCGGTCATGTTGGCACGGCGGCCTGCTTTGCCACTTGTGGATGTAATCAGAGCTGCACTGGCGGGGAATTGGTGTGACTAGACAGGCGAGCACTCCCATCATGACAGCTGTCCTCGTTCCACTAGACTCCTGAGGGCTCAGCTCCACGACTTTCATTAACTTTCCATTACATCATGGGAGTCCTGTTCTGGCCAGTTAGTACAACTTTAGGAGCCTTATGCTATAGAAAAATATATAGGTTCACAAAGATGCTGAAGATATTTTGGTTTTGTTTGATGAAGTCTCCATCATCATCAAACTGCAAATAAACTCAAATAAACCATTTAGAGCTGGAAAAGTTTGTGACCAGATGGATCCCATTTCTTCAGTTTTTCTATCAATTACCTCCATTACTGATCAATTTGCCGTCCAAAATGACTAAAACTGTTCTGAAGTACTCTGAATTCCACACACCCCCCCATGTGTCAGTGCTATAGGAGTCCTGGAAGCAGAGCTGAACCCAGAGAGGCTGACAGTTTGTGGGTTATCTAGAGATGAGGAGATTTGTCCTAGATTTGACTGTAGCAAAGCAGGGCTAGAGGCAAGTGGCTAGCCTACAGAGCGGCTGATCCTCTCTCTCCAACACACACACACACACACGCGCGCACACACAAAATCTGCGCCTCCATGCCACGTGTCAGTCCTTGTCTCGTGGATCACTGGTTGCCAATACTGCGGCTCTCCAGCAGGACGAGATCCGCTAGAAATCTTGGCTGGAGCAGAGCGTTTAGGGGTCAACAAAACCAGCAGCTGAGCCTGTGGGTCTCAGCGGCGGAGGGGGCGGGAGGGCGACTCGGAGGAAGAGAGACAAATCTGCATGTTTAAGCAGCGAGACCGAGAGGCATGAGGCTGGGAGTTTTCACCCAGCACAGAGACAGAGGGCTGGTTCCTCAGAGTTCAGGACTCATCTTGATCACCTAGAAAGACTCCGTCACAAAATGTGGATGTCTTTCTGGGTGCTTGAACATAATCAGATACCCATCTCTGGCTCAGGGATGTAAACCTAAGAACCCTTTCTACAAGCAGACCTGAACAACCAAGGGCCTCCATGGAAACCCTTTAGGGGTCTTCTGGTGAAGCCCTGACCGACCAACAGGAGGCTTCCGCGCATGATGCAAATGGAATCATGCTCATGCTCTTACGCAGCTGTCTGCAATCCGCCGTGGCTCACACTGCATAGACAGGATGTCACACCTCTGAGATAAGGCTTAAAGATTAGTCGGGGTGTGTTAGACGTGCTCACACTGCACCGTCTGCTGCAACACCTCACACTAAGAACAGCACACCTTGTACTGTCAGCGCAGCGGCACCGTGTTACAAGCATGCTTCAGTTACGAAGTAGGGCCTGTTTCATCTGCAGAGCGGCAGAGCTGAATGGACCCATCGGTGGCTCGCCGTGTGAGGAGGTTCAGATGCTTCTCATGCGATTCTTTAGCTCCAAGTTTGGGAATGGAGACATTACACCTGTTCTCTGAGACCTTTGTTGTTTAAAGCCTCAGAGGTTGTCAAACGTTCAGAGTGACTCGAGACTTTAAAACACAAGACGTCCAGGTAAACATACCTAATCTTAAAAGTCTTACCATCATGGCAACTGCTGCTAGGTCAGAGTTCAAACTACACCTGTAAAATAGTTGAATCTGCCACTCTCCTTCCAGTGTGCACCACTGAGGAAGAATTTCTCTTATATAATTGCTACAGGTTACCGACACATGCTGCCTTTATTTCCAAACCAGTCACATTAAGTCCTGATGTTGTTATTCAGATATTGTTTGGTTTCATGCCAAACTTCAGTTTTAATGGAAAGAATTTCCTTAAATGTAAATAAGATTATACGAGTATTTGACTTATATTTGTATTTCTATTGTGTGTTTCATGTGTTTTAAGCTTGCTGTGTGGATGCAACCACGAGCTCTGCAGCTCATGTGTGTCTAATTTACAGCCCCTTACTTTGCACATGGCAGTCAGGAATAAACCCCGCATGAGAAACTCACAAAGCATTAAGTCATGGGGCCACATCAGTCGGAGTGTCAGGCATGTCTCAGCTGCTGCAGGGGCCCCATGCACATCTTCAGTCTGGGTGTGTGTGTGTGTGTGTGTGTCTGTTAGAGAGGCTGTTTGTGGCAGAGACAGGATGGGTGGGGTATTCTCCTAAAGACTTTTAAAAACCCTTGTTCTTTAACTTCCTGTGTCTGCTGCTCCACTGAGACAAGACACTTGTTTTCAGAGAAACCAAATCAGCAGACCTGAACTCTCTGACAAGTTGCTCTGTTTCTGTTCCATAATGCCAGAAGGACAGATTCTGGAAGATTTTCTTTTTCAAATTATTTTTTTTAGCAGGAATCACATCCAAACACTTTCGTTTTAGACAAAGGGATTTAGGGAACCGAAATCTCAATGAAACTGAATACACTCCACTTTCACTGTGCTGACCTTTCAGATTTAAATACCAGACTTTCTAATCAATCCACGCAAAAAACATCAGACCATGTTAAATAATTCAACGTAGTGATTTGATTTCCTTTCCTGCTCTGGCTGCTCACTGTGTTCAGTGTGAGGACAAAACAAACTGTTCAGAGGTTTGGTTGTGAAATCTAGGCTCACCTACCACTTTGAAAACAAGGACAACAGTTTTTATCTACTTAAAAATGCGACGATAAAAGGAGGAACATTTAGGAACACAAATACTACAGTACTACGTACTAAAAAAAAAAATACAATCTTTTTTATGAACAATGCTTGTGTTTCTCTGATGTAATGTAAACTAACTAACTAAATAAATACAATTGAATAACTGTATTTACTGTATATACAATAACGGCCGAT